GTGACCTTCAAAGAATTTTAGTCGTAGCTTTGTTAAAAAGTTATTAATAAAATGTTATAAAAATTTAAAGGTAATTATTCACTTTATAGTAAGAACTTCTCCGACAACTTTGACCTTGATGTATGTTGTCAAAGTCAAGAAGTGCTCTAAGTGCCTTTCAAAAGAATTTATAGCTGTTGTTCGTTATTCGTTAAATATAGTTAATATCATATTCATGTGGGATAGTATAATTACGATTATAGACATGGTTTCACCCCGTAAGCAGGGGGAAGTATAGGTGGGCCTCGCTTTGCGTGAAAAGTCATACAATTGTATTGTTCCATATATAGGTTTTTGACTTTTCATGCAAAGTGAAATCCATCCATCTCTGTTTATGGAGTAAAATGAGGTCTATAATTATACAATTTCGTATGGATTTTATAACAATATCTTTTTAACGAGTAACAAGCAACGGCTAAAATCTCTTGTGAATAATTAGCGTTAATTCTTTTAACTATGTTGTTAATAACTTTTTAACAAAGGACAAGCGACGGTTATAAACTTCAGAAGATCACGACTTTCTTAAGGTTATGATCTTGACAACATATGTTTAAGATAATGTTCATTGGACGTGATTCCCTTTTCTCATATACATAGACCTTACAGACGCGCGCTTCGCGCGCGATATTTAGTTTTTTTTAAATTTTTTAATATGATTTGCTATTATTCACATCAAACTCAATACACAATTGTTGAAATATGCATGCAATAACAGCCCCTCACGAAGTCAGCGCAGCGAGAAAGCCAATTATCATCGCGGAAAAGTGTCAATAATAAACTTTGAAACGTTTGAGAGGCTTCAATAGATTCAAGTATTTTACATGATTTAACGTGACTTTTTTTAGATAGGATTCATTTATTTATATTTTTTATGTTTTTTTAAAATTATAATAATTGTATTAAAAATAAAAGTGACTATATTTAATTCACAATTTATTTCTATAACTAAATTATTATTACAAATTTTCATCTCTATAAAATTAATGATTTGTTGTTGCACATTTCTACTTAAAACAAAAAATCACGGAATTAATTAAA